TGTGGACTGATGATCTTATTGCTAGCAATGTACTATATCAAGTTGACCTCCACGCGGTTCTACCTGGAAACCACCGTGATAAATTCTTGGTAAACGATGGGCTAACTGACCTGACCTCATGCTCATCTTATCATCCTCCACTGGTGCCCCGCCAGCGTAAGTCGTTGGCGCAGGCGAGAACAGCATTCCATTATCGTCCGTTAAAAAAAAAATATGTAAGTACCAAATATACTTTTAATATGCATTGAGTGAGACGCTTTTAATTTGAAATTACAGACACTTCAATTTGATTTATTTATATAGATTAAATTATTCATGTTAAGACTGATTAAGTATGTGAATACACAACATATATACCAAAACAAAACCACAGCCAAATATAATCTGTTAAATCAGGTCTTATCGTGTTAATCATTTATTGCAAACCATTCAACTTGACCGATTATAATCTATACATATAAATAAAATTGGAGTGTCTGTTTGTAATATTGAAATAACCGTTTTTTACTACATGCATATGAATATAAATACGGTACATACACCAAAATAACATTTTTTACAATTTTTGTCTGGCTATCTGTTTGTTCCGGCTAATGTCTGAAATGGCTGGACCGATTTTGACGGGACTTTTTTTGGCAGGTAGCTGATGTAATATCGAGTAACTTAGGCTACTTTTATTTTAGAAAAATAAAGTTAAATTCCACGTGGACGAAGTCGCGCATATAGCTAGTAAAATATAAAATTATGAAAAAGTGGATTGAAGAAATTCCATCACCTGTTTTGACAGAAACAGGTCTTCCGCACCTTCCTGGGAAGTTCAAGTTGGTGCCTTGATGCGAGCTCTTTTGACCCGACATCTATGAGAACAACCCTCAGGGAAGGGTATTTAAGCCTTTGTAAGCGGGTACCTACCCATAAAACTATATTTTGCGTGAGAAAAGATGAGTCTTTGTATTGCCCTAATTTATCATTATTATTTATTACAACACAAGGTAAAATAAAACAAATATTTTAAAATAAACAAATTTTAATTTATTGATATAATAATAACTAAAAAAAAAAAATATTTTACACAATACATTATAATTAGTATTACACCACTAAGAATAATTATTTTTTTTAACATATCAAAGACATGGACTAGCAAATAAAAATAAACTTATAAAAAACATTTTAAATACGGTGTCAAAGGAAACTGACATACATCCAGGGTTATATTGGTATTAAACTAACGTACGTTTAATTCAACGCCATCAAAATACCAAAATCTACCATCCAACTTACAATATCAAGGTTCATTCCATTGCCTATATATTTATACATGGTAATTTTAACATTACGCGCTCTTAGCGTTTCATTTATAATGTTAAACGGTACTTATTAGACCTCTGAACCTTGCAATCAAACTGCGGATGTAATATTCGTACCCCTCACATTAAGTAAGATATATTATTAAAGTTATAGTTATAGGTTAAAATATGGCAGTCCATTCCAATAATACGATGTAAAAGTGAGAAAAATTGGTCTGAATAGAAAAACCAAATAGGAGCCATCGAACTATCCAATACACTTTAAATATCATACATATATTATCATATACCATATCATATTAAATGTCGTACATCGATCGGAAAAGAAGCTGTTACAGTAGAAAACAATGTTTTACTTTTAAAAAATTGTCTTAATCTATGCGTAAAACTAGCGTACCAGAGCCAACTTCCATTACTTACACTTTTATCTGTCCAGTGCACATGGCTGTACATGTTAATTTCCTTCGCTTCCGAAAGCGCGCCAAAAACTGGCCGCCATTTTGTTTGCATTGGACAAATAAAATGACATCCCTAACACGAAATCCTTATATAGACAAGTAGATGCATGCGTGTGTATACAATGTACCAATTAGCTACAAGTTATTTAGATTACCATAAACACACAGAAAATGTTAAACTGCGTTTCGTAAACTGTATTTTTTAATAATATGTAAAAAATGGCGGAGCAATTTTGATATGCCATTTCAAAAAATTTACTTAACAGTCCTCTTTTCCATAAATTGAAGCATATGTCGTGTCGAATATAAAAATGTAAATAGGATTAAATTAGTAGATACACGAATAAAAATCATACTTCAAACAGTTGTCACATACTACATAGATACATACATTATGCGTATTTTGAGCACAATACATACTAAAATAGTGTTTGTGAATCAAAATGGTGACAAATCCGAAAGCATATTGATATTTTATCCATATTAGCTCCAGTGTTGCTATATCGAACCGCGTCTGCCTTAATATAAACTTCTAAATATATTATAACCTATCTAAGCCGAAGGCTTCATAAAAGTTAAACACAATATAGCGCGACAACCACCCATCGACTAAATAATTAAATTAAAAGCCGACTCGATGCAACTGTGCAGTAATTGGCAATTGATCATAAGAATACCAAATCGTACAGACAATATCACTTAGTACTGTATTTCTGATAGCCTAAGGTTTATTTTAGAAAATTGCGCTATCCATAGTTCTGTCACGCTTAGTACCAAATACCACACGGTTTGACCGCAAAATAAAATTATTTTGTGCATCAAATACAAACAAATACTGCAACTTATACTTACCGAGGTTACAATAAAATTCGGCCACTGCAACTGGTAACACTGAATGTTGGGAGTTACTAGCCTGTCGTTTACATCCTTAAATAACTACGGCCTAGCTTATTCTAGAAAAAATGAACTAAAAAAGGGACGCAAGTGATGTCCGCGCGTCCCATACTGCCAGATTTACATTGCTCAAGTTTCAGCAAAACGAATACAGATACATGTCCGATATTTCATAATCACTATCCTTACCTACGTACGAAACTATGTCCCAAACTTTACTCAATGTAAATCAGGCATAGCAATGAGATGCTAAATATAATTACGATCTCTCAAGCTCTCTATGCACTAAACATCAATTGACGCACTTTCCATTTCGCATGTTCAACGGCAATTTTTGGTTATTTTTCTTGCTTGTTGTGGCAACACTGTGTGCCATATTAGGTATTGCCATTGTAACATTAAACGACATGTACCGAACATCAATCGTTGAATAGACATGCCGTTTCCATACGTCCATCCCCAAGAACAATACATACAAGTTGTTACAAAGAATACGATACGAAATTGATACCCTAAGTACTCTTGAACACGACCACAATGCATCATCAACGAATAATAACTCGTCAATGCATATTACATTCAAAACAAAACTGTTAAAAGTATATTTGTGCATTTTAATCAGTGCCAGAAGCGCGTGGTAATTTCTGATTGATACATTAAAATGCAATATTAAATTCTTGTGAAAGTTACTGTAAAATAAACAATTTTAACATCTGCATTAAACGCCATTCACATTTATTATTTGCGTGTGGTAATTTTTAGACATTGAGATTAATTAGAGAATCAAATGTGTATCTTGACACTAACAAAAAATTACACATTTCCCACCTACACACAAACAGTATGAAAATCCAAAAACATATTAAAATGTAATCAGATTTCATTACACAATTAGCTGAAATACTGTCAAAGCAATTCATGTTACAATTTCATTAAAAAACCTGAAGAGTGTAATAGGTACAATGTATAACGCCTTTATTATTCACGGATTTGTTTGTTTTTAATTGTGACGCTATTTGAGTGGAGGTGCAATATGTGTTTATTATCACACGCTTAAAGTGCATTAAAAAATCTAATTTTGGAAAATGGACTCTATATTTTAAAGCCTAAATTCAATTTTCCAAAATTTTTAATTTTTTAATTAGCACTTTTTAATAAGCGTGCGATATTTAAATAATAACGATATAATTTCTTACGCTTGCATAACTGTAATTAAACCAAATTATACATCAACAAATATTTAAAAGTTATTTAACGTTCGTAAACAAAATTTAGTAAACTTTATAATATTTTAGGAATGAAAAATAAAATGCATTTGATTTGAGAGTCAAGGATGGTTCGACATAAATGCCCGAATATTATGTGTAACGATCATTCTCGTTGCACAAGCACAGTAAATAATCTTAGCACACACAACGATATAATCATTACGCACGCAACGAATGCACACACAATTGGCCACACATGCAACGAAAAATTAATCATTGTCTATGCAAAACTGCCATTAGTAATAACACATTACAATGATTCGTTGCACATGTAACAGTCATTGGTTACACATCGAATGAACAATCATTGCACACACAACAGTCGATCGTTACAATGAACAATGGTGACCTTAGGGATGGTACAATCATTATATATACATCAAATCATTGCACAGGTAATGATTAATCGTTACCCAATGATCAATCATTACAATGAACATCGTTGCACATAATTGGGAGTCTTAAATGATCAATCTCATTCATACATTATTTGTTTTATTTTATTATATGTGGACCATAATTATTTGTTAAAAATATAATAAACAATACGTTATTTGTAGATATTGTTGAGAAGTATCCACTGATTTTAATATTATTTAATATGAATGTCAAAGTATAAATGATTACATTAAAAATCAACACCTTCCCATCTCGGAAACTTGGACTAAGGGAGATTGCAATGTGGATATAAAATTAACGCAAAAAATTTGTACACCTGCTTTCCTCTAATATGTCATTATATCAGTTCAAGACTATCTTCTATCTCACTCACACTTACCGATGGTTACCGGCATCACATACTAATCTTTCAGGGAATTTATTGTTATCAATTTAGAGTTCATATTGCAATCTCCTCGTGTTTTGAAAGTTACGTTTCCTTCATGAAGAAAACATTAACTTTAAAACATGTTTTTAAATGGAATTCTTAATCTTAGATGACAAAACACAGTGTTGGCATCTATACACGAAGATTGTAATGGTTTTTTTGATGGGTTTCTTTTAGGAAAGAACATAAGGGTGGTTGTGTGGAATAGTCCTACTTCGTGTTCAGAAGCCATAGGGGATGATGATCTGCATTATAACCCCCGAGTTTAAACATTATTCGGGCGATTACTAATTACAATACAATTATAAAATTAATCATAGATTAGCTCCAACCGTTAGAATTACAATTTTTATATAAATGACACAAATTAAATTTCCATTCAATAAATTACACTGATACATTAATAATAGTATTTGGTTCTTTTAGTTCTTTTTTTAAACTTATATAATTCACTATTGTGCGACGAATATCTGGAATGAGAAAATTGTGATTCATGAGTACTTATCATTGGTGTATCTACGTGGCAAATATCATTAAAATCTGTTCAGGCCTGACTGAGTATAATATATATCAAAGCATATTTGAAAAAATAATATTTACAATATACAAATATATTGTAAATATTATTTTATAGTCAGAGGCAATATTATTTAATAGTCAGAGGCAAAGTATAGACAAGTTTATTTCTTAAATTAACTTAACCGGAATTAAAAAGGTCGTAAAACTTAAAAAAAGGTGCAAACGCTTTTTTATGTGCCCAGTTCAATTTCTGCTCTCCTGAGGTTATCAAGATATTTATAATTATAGTAATCACATTTAAAGTGTGGATGGTCACCACATATAAATGAAGTGTTGCCGCTCGCTTGCCATTACAGTCAGCGGGTCAGACACGGGTCAGCTAGTTTATAATATATTTACTAATAAATAAATGCAGCTTCGTCTGCGTCACACATACTTGACACTTATCATTATATTTCTCCCAATTTACATAATCTTTTTTATTATAGTCTATGTTATTCTGATGCATATGCTATACTACTGTAAAGTTTCATCAAAATCCATTCAGTAGTTGCGTTAAAGAGTAACAAAAATCCATTCATACTCACAAACTTTCACGTTTATAATATTAATATTATATTGAAATACAACTCACCAAGTCACAGAAACACAAAACAGCAGGGACCGCCCTCCAGGGATAGGCTTAGGTGCTACGCTATTTACTTAACATTTAACGCATACGTAATATGTAAATATAACGTGAATATGGATCGTGATACACACATACGTTTGCCACGCACACACTCAAACTATATTCCCCTCTAACTCGTAAATGCTTCCACTTTAAAAATTATCCACTACGTTACAAATAAATAAAGCGATTACTGTGTCGACCGAACCCCCTATAAACGTTTTGACACGCAACATAAGTAATACAGGGTTCGTAGAGTAAAATCATTTGCGTAGTCGAAAACTGCAAATCAGATCAGTTAAGCTTAAATACTGCAAAATTACGGGCTTCATCGCGATTCAACCGCGTTGAAATTTGCACTTTACATTTGACGTGTCAAAGTTCATATTCCAATAAGTTAAAACCGAACGTTTGCTGCCTATAAAATTGAAATATTTATAAGACAAGCGCGACCCATTCACACGTTTTAAAATTCGAAACTCGCGCGCTAAACATTTTAAATTTAGATATAAAAGGCGCCATTTTGGCGTGGCCCGTTGGCGGCCATTTTGTTGAGACGCGCATACAAGGTTGGAGTGTTGAAAGGGAGGGGGGAGGGGGATGTGTAGGGGGATATTTAGTTCCAGATGCGGAGGAAGGAGTCCCACGATCCGGTGGCGACGGCCATGCCGTTCTCGGTGACGCCGAGGCACGAGACGCGGTTGTCGTGACCGGCGAGTATACCTGGAAGAACACATCCTTAATTAGCTCATTTTTAAATTGAATGGCTTCCACTAAATGAGGTCGGTTACTTTGACAACATCGTGGTGAGCTTTACGGTTTTCTTGATTATCTTCGTAAAAGTTACAGTTACATTCGGATGATAATAAAAAACAAGGACGTCACAACATATGTTAGCTTATAATGAATTAGATATTGTACAATTATTTTATGTAACTACAATAACAAACAAACAAACAGCACACGTGATGGAAAGTGGCAAAGTCCATGTTACAATTTATTACTTTTATTTTGTTCATTATACTTCATTCCTCATTGCTATACTGGAGAAATAAAGTTCATATTTCGTTTAGTAGTTGCAATTGCTTGATTTTCATGTTCATTTTATATAGAAAAAGAGGTTGTCATTGTCATAATTGGACATTTCATATGGTATGAAATTATTTATACAAATTAACCTATATAGTACAATGAATAGAATATTTAAATGAAAATATTCTGTACTGTACTGTAACTCACTTCTTTTTAACTTCTATTTTCCTTGTGTCTATTATTTGGTTTGTATTGGTAAACATCCGTAATATATTCTTCGTAATAATTATAACACTGGTATAATTCACACAGCGCTATCTAGTTCCAACCTCTGCAGAGCTAAACAACTGTTAACTAGAAATACTTCAAAACATTTTTTCCTACATTCCATATAGAAGTCGCAAGAACCAAAGGCACGACCCGAGGCAGGTAAAAAGATCTCAAAATCCTCAGTCACTCACCGGCGCGCTCGCTCTTCATCGAATCCCACACGTTGCAGTTGAAGTCGTCGTAGCCGGCGAGCAGCAGCCGGCCCGACTTGGAGAACGCGACGGAGGTGATGCCGCAGATGATGTTGTCGTGCGAGTACATCGCCAGCTCCTGGTCGGCGCGGATGTCGAACATGCGGCACGTGGCGTCGTCAGAGCCGGTCGCGAACGCGAAGCCCGACGGGAAGAACTGCACACGCAATGTGATACGCTCTTTAGTAATTAAGACAAACTAACTACCTTTACAGATACAGGAAAGTTCATCAATTGGTTGCTTTAAGAAAAGGTTAAAGTCACACTATTTATCGATCTTAAGATGATTAGTTTCAACATGTATTTTATTATTAGTATTATATATCTTTGTGTAGTATATATAGATATTTATAATAATTGTATCTGTGTTTATGTAATATATATATGTAAATTCTTCTGTATATATGTTATATTATTATTGTTTAATATATATTAAATGTTTTTTTTTTTCAATTTTGGACATTTCAACATCATATTGTTAGTTACACTAGTATTACCAACTCACTACTAGCTATGTCACACTGTTGGCTTGACTGGTAGAGATCTCTTTTAGAGATAAGTCCACCTTTGCCCACTTTGTACATAATTAAGTTTTCTACTCTGTTTAAAAGAATATATCTCAATCCGCAAACGAGAGGGTAATTGTTGTATTGATATTGTACGTACTATAATAATCATATATAAATTATCACTTACGCTGCATATATAATTTCATTATGGAATACTATACGAGACAATAAATGAGTGTATCTTTTATTTATCATCCCCGTAGATTATCAATTATCATTATCAAAAAGTGTAGGAACAACCGCTACAGATATTTTATTTATTATCGAGTCGATCGCGAACGCGAAGCCCGATGGGAAGCATTGCACACGCTTTATGATACTTTAGTAAATCCGCAAACAAGGAAGTACAATTATTATATTCATATAAAATATGACCACAACGCAGTTCCTTCATATTTTAGTTGACCACAACGCAGTTCCTTATGTAAACCCATAGTGATAAATTCTTGGTGAATTTGTCACGATGGCTTCTGACCTAATCTCATGTTCATCCTATCATTTTCCATTGGTGTTCCGCCGCAGATATTGGGTGCGGCGGGTGGTGGTTGGGCAGACACGAACTCCCCTTCTATGTTTGTCATAGAAGGGGAGTTCCTGTACGCAACGTGACGAACAAAGGAGGGGAGACTGAGTATGCACCGTGATCGCATTGTGTACAAACAAAGGGGAGATTGAGTATGCACCGTGATCGCATTGTGTACAAAGTAGGAGGGATCTAGTACACACCATGACCCAATTGCATACAAACATACATTCGAGTACGCACCGTGATGCTATTGCGTACGAACAATGGATGGGGGATCGAGTACGCACCGTGATCCCTTTGCATTCAAACAAAGAGCGGGGTGTCGAGTACTTACCGTGACCGCGTTGATGTCGCTCTCGTGCCCCGGGAAGGTCTGCTTGCACTGGCAGTCGCGGATGTCCCAGAGCTTGGCGGAGGCGTCGCAGGCGCCCGACACGAACGTCCGCTGGTCGGGCGCCAGCGACAGCGACATCACGTCGCCCGTGTGCCCGGTGAACTGCCCGCACTGCTGCCCGGTCTCGATGTCCCACAGCGCGCTGCACAACAACACACATCCTCCATAACTTCACTACCACACATTTGTACCCAGGTACCACCCCTACGATCAGGGGGGGTATATCCGCATTACTAGCTATGTACCATGTTAGTTCAACCTCCAAGCTGTTCCAAACCAAGGCTGGAAAACATTGTGGTTAATTCCTGGTTATCTAATCACGATGGGCTAACTAACCTGACCTCAGGCTCATCTTATCATCCTCCACTGTTGCAGGAATCGAAATTACGGCGGCCTGAGCCGAGGTTCGAAATCGGTTCATCCATCATAAACAAACATACAAATACATTATTTAAATTATTAACCGGGTCTTAACACGAATAATTTTATGGCAAATAAAGGTCTCGACGTTTCGACTAGGTTTTAGGTTTGTTAGGACCCGGTTAATAATTTAAATAATGTATATTAAACACGAAGGTTTAAAAATAACTAAACATACAAATAATACTCGTAACATCCTTCTTATATTACTGATATATTACTCACTTATTTATAGATTGATTGATTTGATTTTATCATCACTAACATCAGAACACAGCTAGCTTATCAATTAATCTATAAGTCTGAATATCATCACAAATCATACGTATATGATAGAATCGTGTTTTAAGTTAAAATCAACAATATATACTGTTATTTCCCAGAGTGAAGTATACAGTATACGCATATATAAGTATACGCGTGTTCCTCTTAAGCTTAAGGGGAAAATTTACAAGACCATGATCCGGCCTGCTGTCTTGTATGGATCAGTCTGAATATCATCACAAATCATATGTATATGATAGAATCGTGTTTTAAGTTAAAATCAACAATATATACTATTATTTTCTATGGATGGACTGTGTGAAAGATGATATGGTAAGAAAGGAAGTAAATAACGCGATGACTGCGAACAGGGATGAATGGAAACGAAAAACATATTACGCCGACCCCAAATAAATGGGATAAGGATGAAGCAGATGATGATTCCAGAGTGAAGTATGTCAGTTGGCTAACTAACCATGTCATATCGCCCGAGCTGGTGAGTATCTGGTTGTCGTCGAGGAACCGGCAGCAGGAGAGGTAGCCCGCGTGGCCGGGCAGCTCTCGTGACACGCGCACGTTGCCTTCACGCGTCTTCAAACTGCAACACATGCATTGTGCATTGAAATTTATACATTTATTATTATGAAATCAAATAATTTATTTGCAGTGTTTGGACATCGTCGGCTCGAAGGACTTCCCGGGAGTATCAAATGTAAAAAGGTAAAGCGGTGTACTAAACTGATAGACTACCGACACCGAGCTGCTTTATAGATTTATAAATTAAATTATTTCATTTCCTATTCATATGGTATTAAACACTTTCAATATTGTAGATACATATTCTCCCAAAGAATTTCTAATAATTACTAAAATAATTGAAATGCTTTCAAATCTGGGATCTGGGATTTTTGTACTGTACGGTCATTGAAGCATAAACAAGCCCAAACCTGTCTGCTTTTTTCTTTTCACTATCATAAAATACTGTTGGGGCCATATATACAATCCACTCACCAAATCTATTGGACAATGTGTCCTAATTATTATTTTCCAGATTTGCTTTTTCCGTGAAACTAAACTAGAATAAATATTTTGTGCTATAAATATTATTTGAGTTATTAGAATAAAAAATCGTATTGAAAGGGTTAATAAAATAATTTAAGTATTTCATACCCATAACACAAGATCTGCTTAGCGGGACCGTGATATAGCACCGTGTACTTTGTCCAGGGCCGTTAAAAAGTAAAATTAAAACAAAATCATAGACTCACCTATAAATCGAGCATATGTTATCGAGCCCACCGCAAGCGACGTACGACCCGGACGGCGCGTACGCGCATGTCATCACCCACGAGGAGCGCAGCGGTATCGCGTGCACCTTGTTCGTCGTGTGACTGTCCCACACGATCAGCTTGCCGTCCTGACTGGCCGACACCAGATTCCTGATAAAGGAAAAAAACACCATTAGTTTACATCCGGCTTCAATACACGATTTCAGTGAAAAAATAACTCTGTCATTCTGTCTGTCGCATAAACTACTGAACCGATTTAAATGAAATTTGGTACACAGATGGTAAGACCCTAAGGAAGGACATAGGCTTCTAAATTGCGAAAAAGGGATCTAAAGGGTTGAAAGGGGAGATAGTCTAGATCCTGAGGAAGGAAGCTGCAAAAATTTACCCTAAGAGGAAATAGTTGTGGATGAAAATTTGTCATTTTTGTCTTTTTAGTTGGCATTTTTGGGTTAGATTATTAAATATATTTCTTTATTTGGTCAAAGTCACTATTCCACGCGGAGTCGCGGGCACAGCCCATCATAAATAAAAACAAAATTTTTTCACATTTATAATATTTCTATGGACAGTCCTATAATACAAATTTCCGCATAATATACGTTGATAACACTTCCCCACCCGATAGATACGTCATAGACAAATCCCGAGAAGGAGTTACACGAGGAAACAAATGATCAAACCAGGTGTTTTAACATTACACTTGCGTAGAGGAAAATCGAGTCGAGTTACGTATGAGTAATCGATTTCATTCACAGTCTTCGTCATTTCACAACCGGTGAATATTATTATATTTCACTGTAATGACGAGTGGAATATTTTTACAGCTTTCATGTCAAGCTGAAGAGGAAACTGCACTGCACATCCTACGTGGTCGTTAGCCCACCACATCATTAACGAAATATCTCCTTTGGAAAGTTTACACTCTGTTCTGAGGAGAGGAAAACCATAGCTCCTAAGAACAGCTTACAAGTCTTCGTCATTTCACAACCGGTGAATATTATTTTATTTCACTGTAATGACGAGTGGAATACACTTATAGCTTTCGTGCCAAGCTGAAGAGGAAACGCCACTATACATACTATTTGGTCGTAGCCCACTCATGCATTAACGAAATATCTCCTTAAAGTTTACACTCTATTCTGAGGGTATAAAAACCACCGGTCAAAAGAATATCTTTCAATTCTTGTCCCTGATGGGTCTGGGTCGCGAACGCCACCACACATTCCATGTGGTTATAGCCCACTCATGCATAAAAGATATATCTCCTATGGAAAGTATAAAACTCAGTATTTGAGACCCACTGCATTTTTTGAAGAGATATTTAAAAACATTATACATATTATGAAGAAGACATTTTTTTTAAAATACTGAAATATATTAGGTTCTTAAATATGAAATTAGCGTTTTGTCCTTAAATAACCCCTTTGGTTAGAAATTTCAAGAATATCACTTCATTTGTTTTTCGATTACATTGTTGGTTTTTTCATTGGGTCACTCAGACAAAATGGAAAACTTAAAATATCGTACAAGTACGAGTTCCGCCATGGCACTAATGCTGAGAAACGGCTCTGATAAATGGGCGAAAACACAATGCATTGTTGGTTGCAACGTTTTCGTTCTGGAAATTTCACCTGCAAAACAATCCCCGTGGGCTTTCGTGCAGATCCATCACAAGAGTAAAGTTAGTTTCAGGTGCCACTACACATCCTATTTGGTCGTAGCCCACTCATGCATAAACGAAATATGTCCTTTAGAAAGTATACACTCTATCCTGATATAAAAACCACCGCTCAAAAGAATATCCTTCAATTCCACACACTGCACAACTGTCCCTTATGGAGATCTAGGTCGCGAACTTTTTTTCGAAAAAAAAAATTCAAATCCGATGGTACAAAGATTTTATTGATATGTCCAAATTTTCCCGTTCAAATGTTTTTTTCAGTAAAGGGATCAATGAAGTAGAGATGGCAAAAGTGCATAAATAGCAGAGCATACAAATAAACATGTTATATTTTGAAAAAAAATACCAGGTTCATATAATGTTATGCATTTTTATAATGACGAAAAAAAAAATCTACCTTAAACTTGTAAACATAGTTTCTAAAACAAAAAAAAAATACATCAGTTATCTAGTATTATTGTGCCGCCACCCGACAATTTAATTTCTATATAGGTACTTGAAGTTCTCGACTTTTCTCGAGCTAGCTTATCTTGGGTCTAGATGGCGCTGTGTGAATTGTCCTGAGATTATTATTTTTATCTGTATAGGAGTCCATAGGCTACGGTAACCATTTACCATCGACAGGGGTGTCACGTGCGCTTTGACAACTCGACGTTTTTTGACCTCACGGTACCTAGTTGTTTAACCTCTGTCGACCCTACTTGTGATATCAGTCGTGAGGTTATGCATATAAATATTGCAATATCATCTCAATATAGCGATTTGTACGCCTGCTATAAAGACAGAGCGTCTATTCCAAAAATAAAATGTAGTCATAATATGATATGTTTATATTACAGTGAGTCGTGTCTGGTTTCTACATGTCAGACCGAAGTGTCTCGGATTTGATTCCTGTGCAGAATTTGAATGAATGAATGAATGAATAAAACTTTTTATTGTTTCTCTCACAGACAACACAATTATGTATAAAAAAAAACAATCTTATCTTACTAATATTATAAATGCGAAAGTTTGCGAGTACGAATGTATTTTTGTTATTCTTTCACGCAAAATCTACTGAACGGATTTTGATGAAATTTTACAATAATATAGCTTATGCATCAGAATAACACATAGGCTATATTTTTTATTGAAATTTAACGCGGATAAAACCGCGGGCACTGTTAATAAATAAATAAACAAATAAAAGTGCTACATATAACTATCACAATCAGATTCTGAAATACCTGATCCATTGCTTCAGAATCAGCCCTCCTCAATATTAACAGATGATTATAAAATAAACCCTTTGAGCCATTTTAAATAAATATTTCCTTATTTCTTAATAAAACCGATCGCTACAATAGAAATCGCTAAGATGTAACTCTACGACCTCACGCGTCACGTGTTTCCACGAAATTGTTTCCTGAGATGCGAACGTTTATTTACACGTTTGCTGGAATTGTGCGTACTGTTTTGTTAATGCAAAGATATATATATATATATATATAATATGATATGATAAGATACGATATGAAGATGCCAGAGTTCAGTTTTTCTCGGCCGAATGTAGAGTATAGTAAACATGTACAAGCGCATTTGAAAAGAATAAGAGCTGAGTTTCTTGTCAGTTCTTAACTTGAAAGCACTCAAAACTGCCGGTAGATTTGTCATATCAGTGACAGAAGAGTTTCATTCTTACTTAAAATCTTCATCAGCTATATTAAAGCAAATTTGTTCCACTGATATATAGTACATAAATAAATTAAACAAAATGTTTTGTTATATTAATCGGATATCTAAATATATATAACTCAAAGGTGACTGACATAATGATCTATCAACGCACAGCCCTAACCACTGGACGGATTGGGCTGAAATTTGGCATGCAGATAGATGTTATGACGTAGGCATCCGCCAAGAAAGGATTTCGATTAATTTTACCCCCGAAGGGATAAAATAGGGGTTGAAAGTTTTTATGAAACTTTGTCAATTTCAAACCGATCGAGCTGCATACATAAAGCTACTATGACGCATCCTCTAAGAAAGGATTTTGATAAATTCCACCCCTAAGGGGATAAATTAATGCGAGCGAAGCCGCGGGCAAAAGCTAGTATATAATAATTCGTAATTAAAAGTTAGTCTAACTTTGTCTGAATAAACAACTTTAAAAAAGGTTTCTTTAAATGACTATCTGTTACTTGATCTAAATACCTATCGAAGGGCAAACGCACAAAGATACCGAGCCATCCGTGTTGTTACTAACGGCAGGTACAGAATACGACAGTTGGCTGTCACGGCATATGCTGAGTGTCGGCCATGTTGCCAACTAGAATTCACGTATTGTAATGTAATTTTGAGTAATTGATGTTGTTGTATGTATCATTATTGTGTATATACATGTATCTGTACATAGAATCAAAACATTTAGAAATTGCTTATGTACAACAATGTAATGGTTGGCAATAAATATTTTCTTTCTGTCTATCAAAAATCCCTGAATGAATAAAGAATAAAAAATATATGTATGTTGCTCCCTTCGATCGATTCCCCGTCTAATTCAAACGGGAATCGAAATTACGATGGCTTTAGCCGAGGTTCGAACCCTTAGTGGTGCCCTCATATTAAAGTCAAATCCGTCAAGCGGGAGTTGACCTTCAGCCGCTTCATAAGTCCTTCCTCGGGTTTGGAGCGCCATCTGCACTCGCCCCCTATCATCCGGTGAAGCTGTAAAGGCCAGCTCATCTGCACTCGTCCCCTATCGTTTGGTGAAACTTTACAGCTTTATTGCTCCAGCTAGCTGCGGCTAACAGCTTTAGAGTTGTCCAAACGTATGTTGGCTAACCTGGAATCGCTGCCCCAGTGCATGGCGTAGATCTTGGCGAGGTGTCCGCGCAGGGTGCGCCGCGTACGCATCTGTATACGCCCGATGGGCTCCAAGTTGGCCGTCGCTTGTGCGAGAGACGTGTCGCACGCCGCCTTCCGAGCATCCTGTATACGACAATTCAACAATAAAAGGGGATTGTTAGTAACTGACTGATGATTTTATTGTTAGCAATGTACCATGTCAGGGGACCTCCGGTTCCCCCTGGAAACCGTCATAATAAATTCTTGGTGAATTTGTCACGATGGGCTATAACCGAACATGTTCATCTTATCATCTCCCATTTTTTACACTTCTTATGATTCAGCATTAAAAGATTTGTATCTTTTTTTAGCCAATTTTTTTTGTAGTTTGTAAATAATTTAATAATTATATTATATAATTCGGAATTAAAGGATACAACCCTAAAATTACCACCCGATATGTTCTGAAGACAGGTCTGTAATGTATTATTGTAAACATGTACAATATTAAATTGAAAAAAAATACGAGCTGAGTTTCTTATCAGTTCTTATCTCTAAATCAATCCGAACTGACGGTAGATTTGACATGTCATAAGAGTCTGTAATAGACCTACGTGAATAAAGAAATTTTGAATTTTATTTGAAGTTTCTTATTATGGCATCCCCATTATTACATACCCGAATAGCATTTTTGAGGGTCTCCGCCTCCTGGCGCAGGCTGTCCAATTCGTTCATGTTGCTGGCTCACCAACACCAGCCCTGTAGTACCGTGTCGCCTCCACGCGCCGCGTCCGTTCACTACGCAACGCACGGACCTGTAAATAATACACAAGAATATGAAATCTATTCTAATATTATAAAGCTGAAGAGGTTTTTTGTTTGTTGAACGCGCTAATCTCAGGAACTACTAGTTCGAATTGAAAAATTCTTTTTGTGTTAGATAGTCCATTTGTCGAGGAAGGCTTGTATGCTTCAAACGGGTGAAAATTATAGTCTATGTGTTATTATGATGTATATTATTGCAATGTTTCATTAAAATCCATTCAGTAGTGTTTGCGTGAAAACAAAAACAAACATCTATCCATCGACACTCACAAACTTCCGTCCATAAGTTTGTGAGTGGATGTGATGGATGGATGAATGATCACTCTCTTTTCTTCTCTTCCACGGAAAAACTACTGAAATTTTACTTTATCGTTACAGTTACAGCTTATGCATACATCACATAGGCTATAAATGTCATGCTGGTGATACTGGGCACAGCTAGTTAAATATATTAAATACACCAGTTAGTAGCTTTCGCAAACAAAACAATTAATTATTATAACATATCCATTTATGTTAATTGATACGAAGAAAAGACGCTGTCACTTATGCGTATTTAATGGACGGAAATCTTGAAAAACTGTTTGGTCACTAGTTTTTTAGCACACCGGTTTACTTCCGCGGGTTCGATACCTCGTGGTGCAAACATTCATGAGTACATAGTCACGTTTGTTTGTATCAGTATGGGGGTTATGTACATGTATAACATGTATTCTTCCAGGTTGTCTATAAGAAATTGCTTATAGCGGACAGACCAGTGGGTGTGGGGGGCCACAAGCAGCACCCGTTCATGAATATGACGTATTCAATATATAAATTGATAAGTAGTTGTAGGAGATGACATCATGCAATTTTATACACAAGATTTAAAACTTCAGGCCTATAAAATTTACAGCATCACCACTATACATTTTAAGAGTTTCTTGGCATCCACTCCAGCACAGTGGAGTGTCCGTACATCGGTATAGGTTATTCATACCATCTTATTAATATTATAAACGCGAAAGTTTGTGAGTATGGATGGATGTTTGTTACTCTTTCAAGCAAAAACTACTCAACGGATTTTGATGAAACTACTGTAATATAGCTTATACATCAGAATAACACATATATATTATATAGGCTATAAATTTCACGCGCATGAAATCGTAGACACAGCTAGTGACAACATATTTCAGTATTGATTTACTACCATTTATTATAAAACCTATATTTTTAAATTCCGACGTATCTCCTTATCGAATGGCCCGATTACGATGTGTTTTTTTTTTTTGAAAGCTAACGCGACGTAGTTGATTCTTAACTAGAATAGTCCAGCAGTTAATCGCACCGGTTTACTTCTACAATTATGTACGACTTAAAAACAAATGTATATAAGTAATTATTCAGTACTACCCCTACCGCCCAGTTCGGTTAGCTACTTCAGTCGAGAAGAATTAGCAAAAAAAACCAATTAGTTGTTTTTTTCGGACTACTCTAATACTTTACAGCTTCACCGGATGATAGGTGGCAAATGCAGATTGCACTCTAAACCAAAAGGACTTATGGAGCGGCTGAAGGCCAATTCCTGCCTGACAGATATGACTTTAATCTGAGGGTACCGGTAGGGGTTCAAACTTCGGCTCAGATCGTTGTAATATCGATCCCCGTTTGAATTGGATGGTAGATCGATCGGAGGGGCGGTACTCAAATAGTATATTAGTTGTATATGCTTTATGACTGAACCAGAGAATAAATTTAAGATTCTATTTAAAAAAAATGACAGTGACTAAAAATGTCCAATACGCATTATTGCTGACTGAACCAGAGGAGAAAACTGAAAATTCTATTTAAAAAAATAGTCAATATGACTCAAAATCCATTACGAATAATTGAGTTTGACTTTAACATTTGTCACAGGACATGAAGGTAATGTCAAGTATACCATCAGAAGGCAACAAATACGAGGTGCGGAACAGGAAGTTCGACTGATGAACTGATATTATGTAAACAATGATATCCGTGCTGTGACAGGATGTTGATAAATTGTAGCGCAGTTGACTCGCGTGGGTTCGATTTTATGTAACTGCAGTGACATGCAAACTCACGTCCCACCTGATGGTAAATGGTAGAATAGAATAGAATAGAAATAGAAAATCATTTATTCAAATAAACTTAATTTAAGCACTTTCAAATAGTTATCATTTTCTAATCTACCGCTCATACAAAAAGCTGCCTCATCACAAGAAGAACGAGCAAGAACGGGCAAGAACGCAAGTTTCTTGCTCGTTCTTTTCGTTAGTACGGTCTTTCGTTGCTCTTTTTTTTAATGGACGATAATGGAATGGTGCACTCGCCTGTGCTTGCCTATAATTGTCCATATCTGGATGTTTTCTATTTATATCATACAAGCCTTTCGCGATTATTATAATGATTATTATATTATTATTAATAATAAATTCAATTAGGATATTTTCCATGTTTTTCAAACTCCAAAATACATAATTATACAAAATAAATGTGACATACTCCAACGAACTAAACGAACAATATTAAAAAATCGATCCAAAACCCATGCTATCTTAGGGTTGGTTTATCCTTTATGACTAACCTTGCATCTATATATACATATTCATTTCATACATACATATATATATGTATTAGGTAATATAAAATGAAGTCTTTTCCGCTGTTAAACTACACAACGGATTTTAATGCAGATTTCGGCAACAGACAGAGTGATTCAAGAGGAAGGTTTATATGTATAATACATATACACTCGTGCAAAGACGGGGTGGGTAGCTAGTATCTAATAACATCACTGTACGGTTGACGTACATTGCACTCGTGCACTGTCAGCATTATTTCATAACGCCTCAATAAGTTATTACCAAAATCAGTTTACGTTTGGTCACCAAACATTACGCGTGTGCTCATCTACGCTGCAGTCGCTATCGAGTTTTACAAAATACCAACTTGGTTGACTGGAAGAAATTCCTCTTTTGGGATAAATCCGCCAAACATTTTTTTTAAGTCAATTGTGTACTTTTTTTATAATATTATTGTACAATAAAGTATTACAAACACACAAACAAACAAACCAATGTACAATTTCAACGAGAATTACGGTTTCAAATTCGTAAGTGATGCTTACAGAATAACTCAACTGATTACAAAGTGCAGTGTGTTTTCTACGCCGGACAAAAAGTACGTGGAGGACAGTCCGTCGTCTGCGGAGGCCTACTACGTCATAGGCATACACTTGTGTAACCAAACAAGGAAAAATTCACTCATAAAGCGGTCTTCGTTTACGCAGTTGCACTCATTTCTATATGGCGTAATGTGCTTCTGACGTTTTGTCCCTTTGCCAAGATAGTGCGGTCTTTTTACATTGAATGAATGAATGAATATTACTCTACAAATTTAAACATGGTATATATGGTAGCAGCGTATTTCTTTCATACAACGGATGGATGCAGAAGCCGAATGATTCCACACGGTGGACGGCATTGTAAAAGTTCTATATTCAACAGTGGATGTTGCTAGCAACACAATCATTTTATGTTTATGTATAGACATAAACATAATTACCATAGGGTAATACCATGGAATAAGTGCTAGAGGGTGGCTCCATTGACTTCCCTTTTTAACTCACTTGCTTCCACAATATTGTCTAACAGACGCTATACGTTGCTCAGTGTAATTAAGTTATTGTATAATTTAAATATAATTAGTCAATTAAATATAAGTAGTCCAGCAAAGGTATTTTTATCATCAGCAACCTACAGTCCACGCTCTCAACAGTGGATAGATACAGCCCGAAATGATGATAATGATAATGATCATGATACCTATTATATGGTAGTTTCAATTTAATCCCTCAATAATATTTTTAATTTTTTTATTTATTCATGAACAATGTACATTGTATTTGAATGTTGATATGATGGTTGATCCACTCAGTATGAGTGGATTCATGAACGAAGAATGTCTATATTTATTTATTTATTTATTTATTTATTTATTTATTTATTTATTTATTTATTTATTCAACTTCAATGCACACAATATACAAAATATAGTAAAGTACATTTGACGGACTTAGCACCATGCGGCATTTTCTACCAGTCAACCATAGGTGGTGCAGAGAATAAATGTTGAATATATATGAAGAAAGAAGAAAGAATATATATTATAATATTTTATACAATAATATAGCATCAGAATAACACATAGTTTATAAGGTTATAGGCTTAATATAGACTGTAACATAAGAACGGACATAGCTTATCTCAATCTCGCAAACAAATTCCCGAATAACACCTACTTCTACAATATGTACAAACTTTAGCAGTCTGCATTTCTTCATAGATAGATAGATAATTATCTTTGGCGGCCTCGGTGGTCTAGCGATTTAACAGAACGCCTTACTTCCAATGGTCGCGAGTTCGATTCCTCGCATGGCATAAACATTTGTATTCAAGAGTATGATTGTTTGTATACGTTTGGGTGATTTCTATGTATAATATGCATTTAAGAAAAAATATATCTATATATTTGTATCAGTTATCTAGTACCCACAAGCTTTAGCTATCTGAACTTGGGTCTATATAGCGCTGTGTTGTCAACATCAATAAATAAAACAAGCATACACAAGAACAAGAAGATATCTTACAAGGCAACAGGAGCTGCCTCAGCTGTTGCTGATAAAAGCACAACAATAAAATGATCTATCATAAAAACGGCGTAATCAAGTGTACATTTGGGTAAGTGGATATTTTAAGAACTATTACTATAACATTCCGAGTAATTGTTATTTCGGGAACAGCGTATTCTATGGACGAGACGACGTGAAATGTGGCGTGAGGAGAATTATTTCTAACATCTTAACCCCAGAGACTTCGACTGCTTTTTTATTTAAAATAAAATAGAATAGGCCATTCTTTATGCAAACAAAAATAAAGGGCATCGTAGCATGAAATATGGACTTCAGAAAAAAATTGAGCAGGAA